TGGCTACATAATATTCCATTGTGTATATGTACTACATTTTCTTTATCCAGTCTATCATCGATGGGCATTTGGGTTGGTTCCAAGTCTTTGCCATTGTGAACAGTGCTGCAATAAACATACATGTGCATGTGTCTTTATAATAGAATGATTTGTAATCCTTTGGGTATATATCCAGTAATGGGATTGCTGGGTCAAATGGTCATATTTGTATTTCTAGATCCTTGAGGAATCGTCACACTGTCTTCCACAATGGTTGAATTAATTTACACTCCCACCAACAGTGTAAAAGCATGGATGGAGCATTTTAAACATGTTTCCTCTTACAGTGCTCACCTGAGCTCTTGCAAGAGGCAGTGTCAGGGATGGTGAAGAGCCCAGGCCTTGGCATAGACCAACCAGAGTTTGAACCTCCCAGTCCTGCCATGAACTAGGAGCAAGTCACATTACCTCATTGTCCTTCAACTTCCCTGAAGTCTAAGAAGTCTTTACCTCATGGGGCTGTTGTGAAGATTAAATGAGCTAGTTATGTGATGCTTAGCCCGGCACCTTGCACAGCACCTGTACTCACTGTTAGTGCTGGTGTTGGTGTGTGGAGCAGAGTCACCCAGTGATACTGAAGAAGTGGGTAGCGTGGTAGTGCCCTTCAGGTGGGCAGAGAGTATGTGCTGATGGCCAGTGACAGATGAGGGCCTGAGAACTGTGTGGAAGGGCTGTGAGACTTGGTAATTCAGTTGTTAGGAAAGCAGGGAGAGCAAGGCTTCTTTTTTGGGCCAGGCTGAGCAGATTGGGCTCCATGTCTGGGCTCACCTTGGGAAGACCTATGGAGTGCCAGGCACACCCAGAAAGGAGCCAAGCCCACTTCAGCCGGGGCCTGAGACAGGTTGGATCCACTCAAAGAGGATCAAGCTGGCTGTCTCCCATTTGGTCTCCTGTGGTGACTCTCTGTTAGACCTGGATTGAGTCACTTTATACCTGTTTGAACTGATCTGAACAGGTTCTATCCATACCAGCTGGTTTGTTCTGGTTTAGAACAGACAGGCGGAGTTGGTTAGCCTTTGACTGCCTTTGAATCTTGAGCTGGATTTACTTTTAGTCTCAGCTTTTTGGTTTCCCATTTTGAAGTGTCTGGGTTTTTCATGGGAGTTTCTGTTGGAGGGTCCCAGCCACTTCATCCTGGGAAGCCTTTCCTTGCCTCCAGGACCTGTTCCCTGCCTCTCAGTGCCTTTTGCACTAGACATTCCTCAAGGTTTTTTGCTTATTAATAGTATCCTGGCTAAGTGTGGTGACTCATGCCTATCTATAATCCTAGCCCTCTGGGAGATGAAGGTGGGAGGATTGCATGAGGCCAGGAGTTCAAGACTAGCCTGGACAATGCAGTGAGACTCCATTTCTACAAAAAATAGAAAAAATTAGCTGGGCATGGTGGCAACGTGCCTGTAGTTCCAACTGCGTGGGAGGCTGAGGTGGGAGGATCCCTTCAGCCCAGGAGTTTGAGGTTGCATTAAGCTATGATTACGCCACTGCACTCCAGACTGGGAAACAGAGCCAGATGCTGTCTCTTAAAAAAAAAAAAAAAAGTATTTCAAGGGTAGTGGGTGAGGGAGGAGTTAAACATGTGAGTTCAGAGCACCATCACGAAACAGAGCTGAAGGCGCTTCTTTATTATGGTATAATTTATATTTCATAAAATCCACCCATTCTAGTGGTATAATTCTATGATTTTTAGTGAATTTTTGGAGCTAACTGGCACCAGGATCCAGTTTTAGAACATTTCCATCCCTCAGAAACTCCTGTGTCCTTGTGTAGTCAGTTCTGCCTCTGCCCCTGCCCCCGGCCCAGCAGTGATACGTACTTTTGTCTCTCTAAATTTGCCTTTTCTGGACATTTCCTAAAAATGGAATCTCACAGTAGATTCCTTTGCATCTGCCTTCTTTCCCTGAGCATGTGTTTTCAGGTTTGTTGGTGTGTGGCTGTATCCGTGTGTCACCTCTGTTTTGCTGAGTAGTGCTCCATCCTGCAGATGTGTTGATTGAATTGTCTGTCCGTTAACCAGGTGGTGAACATTTGAAGGGTTTCTAGCTTTTGGCTTTTATGAATAATGCTGCTATAAGCATTCATGTTCATGTCTTTGTGTGGGCGTATGTTGTTTTTTTTTAAGGAGACACCTAGGAGTAGAATTACTGGGTCATGTGATAAATTTATATTTAACTTTTTAAGAAACTACCAAACTATCTTCCAAAGTGGCTGTGCCATTCTGCCTTCCCACCAGCCATGCATGAGGGTTCTGTCTCTCCACATTTCTGCCAATACCGGTATGGCTTGTTGTTGTTTTGTTTTGTTTTTCGTTGTAGCCATCCTCGTGGGTGTGATGTGGTATATCAATATGGTTTCATTTGTGTTTCCCTGATGGCATTTCTCTTGTTAGCTATTCGTATATCTGATTGATTGATTGATTGACTGACTGATTGATGGAGTCTCACTCTGTCGCTCAGGTTGGAGTGCAGTGGTGCAATCTCGGCTATTGCAACCTCTGCCGCCTGGGTTCAAGCGATTCTCCTGTCCCAGTCTCCCAAGTAGCTGGGATTACCGGCATGTGCCACCATACGCGGCTGATTTTTGTATTTTTAATAGAGACGGGGTTTCACCGTGTTGGCCAGGCTGGTCTCAAACTCCTGACCTCGGGTAGTCTGCCTGTCTCGACCTCCCAAAGTGCTGGGATTACAGGTGTGAGCCCCTGTGCCTGGCCCATATATCTTCTTTTGTGAAAATGTCTGTTCAAATCTTTTGTGCAGTTGCTTTTTAAACCCACACCAGCTGTGGATCTGTAGTCCTTGGTGATAGTGAACATGGCTTCCCTCAGGACAAAAATGACTAACAAATGAGACTTCTCAGCCCATCTCCTCTCCTTGCTCATGAAAGAGGACTTTGGCCTTTCCAGCTTAGCTTTTCTCTAAGGAAAAACTTACCTCACCCGTTCTTTTTTTTTCTTTTTTACTATGAAAATTATCAAGCACTTAGAAAAGTGCAGAGACTGGTACAACGAACTCCTCTATACCCTCTTGTCTGGCTTCAGCCGTCGTTATCACGTCGTCATATTTGCCTTATCTCTACTCACGTATATTTTGCTGACCCATTCGAAAGTAAGTTTTAAACTTTACATCTGTATGTTGACACACACCTCACTAAGGGTAAAGACTTTTTCCTACTTAACCACTGCACTGTTATCATACTTAGGAGAATTTATAGCAATTCAGTGGTACCCTCTAAGATCCATAGTCAGCTTTTCCTACTGATTCGCAAATGTTGTTCATAGGTCAGGCTAGTTCTTCTGAGCGTTTTTGGGAAGAATGGGAAAGTAGAAGGCTCACAGGATAGAACTGAGGAGGGGATAATTGAAGTGGATTACATTGTATTGGAGCAGCTATGAAGGAGGAGAGAAGAGCCACTGTCAGTGCTGAAGATGTACCAGAAGAGAGCCTGGGTCATTTGTGGACATTCCTTTTTGGTTGCTTGCCCCCATTTCTTTGACAGCACACTGCTATTTGCTGGGCCCTGTGACTGAGGGACCTGGGAAGGTTGCAGATGGAGGCAGTATCATCTGGCTTTTTCTTCTTTTTGAGCTACCTCCAAAGACTGGAGCCAACTGCAATTATCCAGGCAAATCATCTTTCCCAGTGACCTTTGGGCTAGATCTTGCCCTCGAGGACTGATTTTCTCATAGGCACCACAGATTCGGCATTTCCCAAATCAAATTTATCATCTTTCCTCAAAATCTGCTGTGTCAACTCTGTTCCTTCCTTGCAGAAGGGCATACCATCCTTCTGGTACTTCATGCCAAAAACCATCTCGTCCTCAGCTGGTGCTTCTGCCTCACCTCCGCTTCAGTACCTGGGAGCCTCAGTCCTTCCTGTCTTCCTGTCTCTTAGTCTCTCTCCTCTCTGACTTGACTGCTGCAGCCTCAGCGCAGAGGCCCTTCCTTATCTCCTGCCTGGATAACTGCAGTTGGTTCCAGTCTTTGTCTTCTTCTTGCCTTCCTCCCACCCTGTCCCCCACACTCCTGGTCACTTGCTGCTAAAAGGCTGTCAGTGGCTGCAGGTTTCTGTGTTCAGTGATGTGGTAAATGGCCTAGAGGTGTGTGTACTTGGGTGACAAAACAACTGGGTCTGCTTTGGGTTGTTCAGGCATGATACCTGAAAAGGTGACATTCGAGCAGGGTCTTGAATGATGACAGGGTGGTATAGTGGCATGAACAAAGGCATCAAATAATGAGATATATGCCGCCCTGTGCCTCAGTTTCCCCACATGTAATAGGGTGTAATGATAGGATCTACTTCAGGATTTTTGGGTTGATGTATGCTAAGAATGTCACATAGTACTATATGGGGTTAGCTATTATCCAGGTTATTATTGATGAAGAAGTATGGTGCCAGGGGAACACAGTAGAACTGGTTTGTTTTCTTCACCTTGCCTTTGTTTTAAAAGAAAAATCAAGGCTGGATGTGGTGGCTCACACCTGTAATCGTAGCACTTTGGGAGGCTGAGATGGGAGGATTGCTTGAGCCCAGGAGTTTGAGACCAGCCTGGGCAACATAGCAAGACCCCACTTACACACACACACACACACACACACACACACATTAGTGCATTAGTGGGGCATGGTGGTACATGCCTGTAGTCCCAGTGACTCATAGAAGGATCACTTGAGCCCAGTAGGTTGAGGCTGCAGTGAGCCATGATTGAGCCACTGCACTCCGGTCTGGGTGACAGAGCAAGACCCTGTCTCAAAATAAATAAGTGAATAAAACCAAGGTCACAAACTCTAGTGCCTGCAAGAATCAGGCATAAACTGAAATGGTTGCACAAGCCACGTGGGAACTAAAAGGCCCTTTCTTTAAAGGTCTCCTCTGAGATGATCTGCTCAAGTCTGGTACAGCTTTTGCCTGGTGATGTGGATAAGTTTGTTTTGAAGACTGTTTTTTATGAGCCCCTTTGCCTTGCAGGACTTCTCCAGACAGGTTATGTTACCTGCAGAGGCTGCCCTGAAGCTCCCTGCGGCCTGGAGACTATGTACAAGAGGAATGGTCTGATGGCTAGCGTGTTGGTCACCTCTGCCACTCCACAGGTACTGAGGCTGCAATAATTGGGACAGTGGGTAGAGGGGTCTCCTTTCAGCTAACCCAGGCCCCAGCTGAGCAAGACTGTAGGGCTCTATGAATACCACCATTCTCAGCACTCCCAAGGCCCTTGGCCACGCCAGGCGTGAGATTTGGGAGACAGTCAGCCCTGAGGATCAGTATGTTTTCTGAAGTTGTTCTCTTCAAAGAAAAAAAAATACCTGTCCAGTCCAGTTGTTACAAGTGGCACATTCCATTTTGGTGGCAAGAAGGGATCAGACCTTTCCCAGGAAAAGCCGCTGCTGATTATAAATAAGTCACACACATTCCGGAATGAAGTCAGACAGAAGTTATTCCAACTCGCCCTGAGTTCTTATTTACCTTGCTCAGTAGGAAATGGCTGTAAGGACTGGTGGTCTGGAGTGGCCTGGGCTAGGGCCCCTGCTGTGGGGTTTGGGAGTTTGCTTTCCATGCTCACTAATGGCACAGAAGCATGCAGGAGGATTGGGTGCCATCTGAGGCCCAGATGCCACCCTGTTGTGTGTATAATGCCTGCTCCTCTGACAGATTGGCAAGGCCATGCCAGGGTTTGAGCCCACAAGGCCCTCCTCGTTATGCTGGACGTTTGAAGTGATCCTGGGTAACCTGCCAAAAAGTCACAGGAATCAGTTCATTTCTTATAAACCTTTCAAAAAATTCTGTGTTTTGATCTCTGGTCCTGAAATCGGGATAGGTTTAAGTAAAGCTGCTGCTGCAGTAGAATTATCATTACCGTCATCGTCATCACCAAGAAATGTATTTGAGGCAGCTTTTAATTGAACAAGTTCCCTTGTATGACTGTGTGTGTTTGGGGCAGATACAATCGTGTGTCACTGGAAAGTTAAAATATCTGAAATCCCAGGAATGGACTCCTTTTTGTAACTAGAGGAGTCAAATTTCTATTCCCATCTGGAGTGAAGCTTCTTTCTTCTCTGCCCTCTGTGTGTATGTATGTATGTATGTACACATATTTGAGTGTGTATATATATATATATATGTGTGTGTGTGTATACACATTATACACACACACATGCTGTGTATATATACATGTATGTATCTAGCACAAGGTAAGTACTCAATAAATATTTGTTGAATAAATGAATGAGTGAATGAATGAATACATTTGTAACTGAAGTGCTCAATAAATTTTGATGGCTGAATGATACATTTACACCCATATAGCCCCATAATTTGTTGCTTACAATATACCAGGCACTTTTTCCCATGTTCCATAGGCATTGTCTAATTTAATATTCACAATAATCCCAACCCCATCAGGTTTATATTATTTTATCCCCAGTTTATAGATGAGGAAACTAAGGCACAGACAGGTGAACAAACTGGCTTGGAATCACACAGCTGCCAGGTAGGTGGGGATTCAAAGCCAGGCCTCCCTGACTCTTGAGCTCATGCTCCCAACCATGACATTATACCATCCAAAAGAAAATCCACCCTGTCACCCCGATAGATTCAGCTTCCTGGAAGGTGGGTGTAGAAGTACAGAATGGTTTGTACAGAAGTGTCTGCTTAGGATCTGCATATAAGGCTGGGAGATAGAGTAGAATGCCTATTTCGGAAGCATCTGGAGTAGTCTTTATAACTTTTCAAAAGTTCACTCTGCGCAGGTTCTCCTCAGGAGAGAATGTCTTGTCACTGTAGAATTTTAAAAATAGCCATGCCTGGGCTGGGCGCAGTGGCTCCTGCCTGTAATCCCAGCACTTTGAGAGGCCAGGGTGGGTGGATCACCTGAGGTCAGGAGTTCAAGACCAGCCTGCCAACATGGTGAAACCCTGTCTTTACTAAAAAAATACAAAAATTAGCCAAGTGTGGTGGTGGGTGCTTGTAATCCCAGCTACTTGGGAGGCCGAGGCAGGAGAATCATTGAACTCAGCATGTGCAGGTTGCAGTGAACCGAGATCGCACCACTGCACTTCTGCCTGGACAACAGAGGGAGACTCCCACTCAAAAAAAAGAAAAAAAAAAGCCAAGCCTGAGCTCACTCCAGTCCCCTTGAAGCCCTCCTCGAGGTGGGGGCAGATTCCACCAGTTACTTTCTAAGCTTCATTTTATATAACCTGTACTATAGCCCAGAAGTAGGTTTAATATTAGCATTTTACAGATGATAACAGACTCAGTAAAATGAAGTTAATTTGTCTGAGCTCAGACAGCAACTGGTGTGGAGCTGGCATTTTAACCAGGCCTATCTGACTTCAGAGCTCTTAACCACTCTGGTATACTGCTTCTTAAGATAATCTTAAGAGTTTTTGGTCTAGTGGACCCATTTTAAAACCTTTTGATGACACAGGCCTATCAAAATCTACAGGTTTAAGTCCCTGCTCCTCTTTTTAACCTTACATTTCCAGTTGTTGACTATTAGTTTCCCTCACTGACCTAAAAACACTCTAGTTTCCAGGAAGATTGCAAAGTTTTTCCAGATATAGCCATTTTGGAAAGAGTGAAATAAAGAATTAATAAAAGCATATTCTCTAAATCCCAGTCCAAAATGTTGAGGTTAATGGAAACCACAAAATCCTCCTTCATGAGCTGAGACAAATAAAATCATTTATGAACAGGGCACAATTTTTAGGTGGTAAGCTCAATTGAGCTTGTTGAAGTTAAAGGGAAAGTATATTCAACATTCTGGGATCCCTACAGTGTTGAGATTCATGAAATCAGCCACATTTGAGGAGTTTTAACTTGCCTTTTTATGGGAGACTCTTTCATATACATACAGGATGCAGAGTATCCTTAGCACAAAGGACTCTACTAAATATAACTTTGACACCGGCCTCCAAAGCCAGTTGGTTACTTCTCAGCTCATTAGCAAGCAGGCTTTGAATTCCAAGTGGTCTGCATGAGAAATAAGCCGTGAGAGCCACTTTTACATTTTGTGTAACAATTTCCTGCAATGACTTCAAGTAAGAAAAGGAAAGGTAAAACCAGGTAATATTTGAATGACATCATGAAGCAGATTGTCTCCTCAGGCCTCCTAAGACATGCAGTCCTATTCTCTCCCAAGGAAGATTGGGCTGTAATTTTTTTATCCCACCACTAAACCACTGGCCAGAGAAAGTTAGGGTGGGGCAACTGAAGGTGTGTGTTTTGGGGTCAGATAGATACAAAACTAAGTTTACTTCCTAGCTTTCACTTTCATAGCTGAGATACCTTGGAGAAGTAACATTGCCTCTACTTCCTTATCTATAAAATGGGAACAACAATAATGTATACTCATAGGGCACACGTGAGAAGGAAATAAGATGATACATATGAAGTGCTTAACATGGTGCCTGGAATGAGGTAAGGCACTAAATAGTAGAAGCTGTTTTTATTGTACTGTTTTGTTGCTCTCCCATCTTCAATTCCGAGGAGGTTTGGGAGGCAGTGATTCCAAGCCAGATCTCTCAGTTGGCACCATCTCTCCCTGCTCTCCACAGGGCAGCAGCAGCTCGGACTCTCTGGATGGCCAGAGCTGCGACTATGCCAGCAAGAGCTATGATGCCGTTGTCTTCGATGTCTTGAAAGTGACCCCAGAGGAGTTTGCTGTAAGTGACACAGAGCTGGTATGGGTGGCTGGGCACCACAACAGGGCACTAGAGGGAGCCACCACTTAGGCTTTTTGCTCAGATTGGAAACATTCTATATGCCCAACAAGAGGGAGTGTTGGGTAAAATATGTGTCACCCTTTATGAAATACCATGCAGCATTAAAAGGGTGCTGTCTAGTAATTAACTACCTTGGAAGGTCATATGCTATATATATAAAAGTGAAAGGAGCAGACTAAAGTGCAGTTTGTGGAGAACATGTGGTTTTAAAAATGCGTGTACAGGCTGTGCGTGGTGGCTCACACCTGTAATCCCAGCACTGTGGGAGGCTGAGGCAGGAGGGTGGCTTGAGTCCAGGAGTTTGAGACCAGCCTGGGCACATAGGGAGACTGTCTTGACAAAAAATGGAAATAAAAAAATTAGCCAGGTATGGCGGCACACACTTGTACTCCCAACTACTCAGGAGACCGAGGTGAGAGGATTGCTTGAGACTGGGAAGTTGAAGCTACAGTGAGCTGTGATCATGCCACTATATTCCAGCCTGGGTGACAGAGCAAGACCCTGCCTCAAAAAAAAAAAAAAAAAAAAAAAAAAAAAGCAAGTATAACATACATATGACATAAGTATTTGCGTGGGGTCTAGATTTTTTGTTGATGTATTCATACATATCTAGATATATGTACCAAACATATTATTTACTGTAGTATCTGGTTATAGATTCCAGGTAATTGGAATTTAATTTTTCTTTTTGTTTATTTATACTTTCTACATTTTTATAACGACTCTTTTCTGCAATGATAAATGATATTGTCTGCGCAATTTTAAAAATATAAATTAAAAAAAAGATTTATCTTCAACCAGTGCGTTGCTCCCAGTCTAAGGGACTGTCCCTTGTGGTGGAGCTGCGTTGGCTCCTTGTTTGGCCATGACTTGGTTTCCTCCTTTTGCACTTTGACAGTAGAGGGAGAATATTGGGGTGACCTCAAGCCTGACTGTGAGTATTGTCCAGGCATTGAACTTCTCTCCAGAACCCTGGAAGTGTTTCCAACTCATACCCACTTCTTCTCCACCCTCTTTGGTAAAAGAAGTTTCTTGTCCTCCGAGGTGCCAAGGGAACTAACTAGCTGGGCCCCATGTCATTGCTCTGCCATCATTGGCTTCTTCCACATTTACTTTGTGCCAGGCCATACTGAGCCTGACACATGCTTCATCTCCCTCAGTGTGTCTGAGGGATCCTTTTAAAATCTTCAGACTCTCTAATGGCTCCTTCCTACTAGAATGAGACCCAGAATTCCTCCTGAGGCCTCTAGTACTCTTGTGGTCCTATCAAGCCTCCTCTTCTGCCCCCACCTCCATGCTCTCCCACTGTTTCTTTCTTCCCCAGGCTCACCTGCATCCTCTGTCCTTTTCTTTTTCAGTGTTATTGTCTGTCTCTTCCTAAGATGCCCACTCACTGTGTGTTCAAATGTCTGTCCTTAGGACTTTCACTGGGATAAAGTGGCATCTTTCCATCATTATCTTTCTTCTTACTCTGCTCTGTTTTTCTTCATAACTGTTATTACTACCCAACATTACATTATAGAATAGTAGTTTTTTTTTTTTTTTTCTTTAAAGACAGCATCTCATTCCATCACTCAGGCTGGAGTACAGTGGGACAATCACAGCTCACTAAAGCCTCAATCTCCCTGGCTCAAGTGATCCTCCTGCCTCAGCCTCCCAAAGTGCTGGGGCTGCAGATGCGTACCACCATGCCCTGCTAATTCTTTTGATTTTTAGTAGAGGCGAGATCTCACTGTGTTCCCATGGCTGGTCTCCAATTCCTGGACTCAAATGATCCCCCCACCTCAGCCTCCCAAAGTGCTGGGATTGCAGGTATGAGCCATGACTCCTGGCCTATATAATAATAATTTTTTATTTTATATTTCCTCCAGTAGAATATAAACTCTCTAAGGACAGGAACTTACCTGACTTGTTCACTGCTTTTTTCCCCAGTGCCCAAAATACGCCTGGCTCATAGTAGGTGCTCAATAAATGTGCATTGCCTTAAAGAGTTTAATTCTTTTCTCTCTCTCTCTCTCTCTTTTTGAGATGGAGTCTTGCTCTGTCTCCAGGCTGGAGTGCAGTGGCACTACTTTGGCTTGTTGAAACTTCTGCCACCCAGGTTCAAGACATTCTCATGCCTCAGCCTCCCTAGTAGCTGGGATTACAGGAGTGCACCACCACGCCCGGCTAATTTTTCCATTTTTAATAGAGACAGGGTTTCACCATGTTGGCCAGGATGGTCTTGATCTCCTGACCTCATGATCTTCCTGGCTCAGCCTCCCAAAGTGATGGGATTACAGGCATGAGCCACCATGCCTGGCCAAGAATTCAAGTCCTACAACAACTCAGTGAGGCATATCCTTAGCTCCCAATTTTCTGATAAAGTAAGGATCCAAGAGATTAATTTTCTTACATGGATTATATATCCAGGTATTGGCAGAGCCAGGTCTGAAACTCTCATCTTCTAATTACCTTCTAATGGTAGGAGGTAGTAATAAGAGCAACTCCTGTTTTTGAACACTGATTATGTCTAGGGCTTGTGCTAAATGTTTTACATGCTTTAATCTCATTTACTTTTCATAGCAGCCTTATAAATAAGGTAGTTATTATTCCCAAGTTACTGATAAGCAAGTCAACACTTAGAGTAGAAAGTCACCTCTTCAGACAGGTAGTACATGGCACAGCTGAGCTTTAAAACCTGGGCTGTCTGATGCTGTAGACCAGTGATTTCCGATAGAAATATAATGTAAGCTACATATACAATTTAAAATTTTCTAGTAACCACATTAAAAAATAAAAGTGGTAAATTACTTGTAATAGTATGTTTTATTTAACCTTGTATATCAAAATGTTATTTCAAAATATAAGCAACATAAAATTATTGGGATACTTTATATTCTTTTTTTCAAACTAAGTCTTCAAAATTGTATGTGTGTGTGTATAAGAGACAAGTCACTATGTCAGCCAGGCGGTTACAGCACACTGCAGTGCCTTGAACTCCTGGGTTCAAGCCATCTTCCTGCCTAAGCCCCCTGAATAGCTGGGACTGTAGGCTTGTGCCACTGTACCTGGCTCTAATGGGTATTTTACACTCTGTGGTGCTAACAACATTTCAAATGCTCAGTAGCCACATGTAGGTAGTGGCTACTATGTTGGATAGTATAACACTAGAGTCTGCACTCTTAGCCACAAAGCTCCTTTAGAAGACTTCGTTACTCTTGCAGGCTGATGGCCTAGCTTCTGTGTTCTATTTATGTATGTTTACTTGTACTTTTAAGAGCCATGTTTTTTAGCTGCACAAAAGGAAAGAAGCAGCAATGAGGCTTAAAAATCCCTTTATAGCTGTTTACCCTGTGGAATGGGAGAGAGTTAGACTGCATCATAGAAAAACATTGCTTAACAGGACTCTTTGGTGAGACTTGAGGCTGGGTTTTCTAGCCTCAACCATAGGGTATTGCTTGGCTTGCTTCCGGCCACCTTTCTGACGCTGGGAAGACTGTAGGGAGGGATAGTGAATACTTTGGGAATGTAGTGGTAAAACTTTGGCTCTCCCTGCTGGAGCTAGTGTGTCTTTAGCTTACATGAGAAACCAGGTCTCTGGAGTCTTTGGCCTCTGGGAAAGCACTGGAGTGCTTAGGTGTTAGAATTGAATCAGACCAACTGGCATTTTAGTTTCCTGTCTAATGAAAGAAAGAAAAAACCCAGACATAAAAACCCACTGAAAGAATTATTTAAAGATTCTGGGAAGATGGTGGTGGCAGTAGCATATTTTTAAATTCTCTCTTAATCCATGTTGCCCCTCTGCCCTCCTTTGAACATTCACAACAACTAGATCACAAACCCTGAAACCCACGAACAAAATTACAGTAAACCTAGGTGACAAGATATCCCCTTCAACCCCAAAATAGAAGTGATTGAAGACATACCACCAACATCTATAAGATCTTCAGGGTATCAGCATCTATAGAGGAGAAAGCAGAATAAGCACTGGGGTATTTAATAGACTTGAGAATAGGAGAACCCCAAAGCTGCCAACAGGTATTTGCTAGAAAGTTCAGTGAGTCAGGGTGGGAATAGCTGCTGAAATAATAATGGTGAGTAGAAGGGATCTGTGGAATAGCCATTATGATCTCTTGAAACCAGCCATCTAGGGGATCCCTTCTAGAATGATGCTGCATACCTAAGAACGTCAGTATGAAGTAGAATCAAAATGACAAGGATAGAGATAGTTGTGGCAAAAGCAGCTGTGTGTGTGTGTGTGTGTGTGTGTGTGTGTGTGTGTTGTGAAATCTTAAGAAATAGTGGCCATGGTGTTGAACACTACATGAAAGCAACCTAAAACAGAGCCGTGTGAAGTTCGAAAAGGTACTCTGAACCATATTGCTCTCTGAAAGCTCAGGAGAACTAATTTTGCATAAAAATAAGCAACAGGAAATTATTGCTGTCAAATCTCATTCAAAGTTATTATACAAAAAAAGAGACCAGAATCCCTATAGACAATGAAAGGCATGCCACAAAACAGATAAAACCTGTAACTATTTATTTTAAAATGAGGTAAGAGATGTTAAGATCATGCATAAAGAACATAAATCAGAAATAAGAAAAATCTCAGAAATGAGATGACAAAACTTAGGAAAGGAACATATGAAGAAACGGCTCATCATCATTGGTCATTAGAGAAATGCAAATCAAAACCACATTGAGATACCATCTCACACCAGTTAGAATGGCGATCATTAAAAATCTGGAGACAACAGATGCTGGAGAGGAGGATGTGGAGAAATAGGAACACTCTTACACAGTTGGTGGGAGTGTAAATTAGTTCAACCATTGTGGAAGACAGTGTGGTGATTTCTCAAGGATCTAGAAACAGAAATTCCATTTGACCCAGCAATCCCATTACTGGCTATATACCCAAAGAACTAGAAATCATTCTATTATAAAGACACATGCACACG